AGACCACACACACACACACACACACACACACACACACAGCCTCCCTCCCTCCGGGTCAGGGTTTCCCAGCAGTGGGCGAGGCGTTCCCACGGCCCTTGCCCTGGGGCGATCTGTGCCAACCTGCTGTCCTACCGTTTGCAGCAGGGGGAGCCAAGGCACTGGGCCTGCAGCAGCTCGTGGATCATCTGGCTGCTGGCCTTAACTGAGCCCCCAAAGTGGATCTGCACCTTCTCGATGTCCATCAGCATCTTGGAGTGCATGGTGCGCAGGCGCCCCACGCTCCGCTCCATGGATGCCAGGTCCGCCCGCTGGAAGGGGGAGCTGCCCAGCTTCAGGCTGCGGGTGCAGGCAGACAGGCGGGTGAGGCGGTGGCACAGGCCGGAGCCCATAGCCAGGCAGAAGCCCGGCTCACGCCACCCCTTTCTCTACCCCCAGGTCAGCAGGACCCTGGGTGGGCAGGAGCCCTTTGCACAGTCCCCAAGGGACCATGTCCAGGCTTGCCAGGGGTTTCCTGAGGCGGGCAGTGCCTAAGAGCCCCACAGAGAGAAGCCCAGCCCCTCCAGCTAATCTGGGGGGGCCTGGACCCACACACCTGGAACCCCTACACTCCTAAGCGCAGTTTGAAAACCACCCTTTCCGCTGAAACCCCATTCTCAGGAGGTGGAAAGGCTGCAGGGAGGCGGGCAGGAGCCGAGAGAACGAGAAACAGCCCCGAGCTTCCATAGGTATATTCACTGAGCCCCTCTCGCTGAGTGATGTCGCCCCAGTGCCAGGGCTGCGGGGACCCTGGCGCACGTGGTGTGAGGAGGTCAGGGGGCCGGCACCGCAGTCCCAGGGCAGGTGGTTACAGTCCTGGGCGGAGCCGGTGCCAGCTCAGGAGTGCCTAGTGGTGCGGAGGCGCCCCCGCCACCTGTCTCCGCCTCCCTGAGCAGCCCTGCGTGGGACTCGGCCGCGTACTTGCGGCTCTGCTGCCGGACCTGCTCCAGCTCGAAGATGGTGTAGGGGCGGGAGGAGCGGTGGCCCGGCAGGCTCTGTCCCACGGGAGTCGCGGGGATGATTCTGGGCGGGACACAGAAGGGAGGGTTGCAGGGTGAGAAATTCGCCGTCCAAACCCACCACCCACTCCCCACAGGCCACCCGAGGGCTGGGGTGAGGGCCAAGGTGGGCACGGTGCTGGCGGACAGGCGTGGCCCCGTGAGGGACAGGACAGGAGGTGAAGGCCGGCAGGGAATGGAGGAGATACGGCCCTACTGTCCCGCCCCGTTATGGCCGCCCAGCTGGAGTGAGCCGGGTGCGGGCACTCACTGTCCAGTCACAGGTGTCTCCAAGGGACGGTCACAGGACAGGCAGTGGAAATGTGCCAAGAGCTGCCTGTGAGGAATGGGACACAGGGAGGGTGAGTGGCCTGCCCAGAGGGTCCGGATGGGAGGGTGGAGAGCCCATGGCCGGGAGGGCTGGAAGCTCAGCTCACCCAGCAGGCCCCAGGCACTGGAGGCTGGTCTTGTCCCTGCTCCCCGGGGCTCACCCTCTCCCAGACGCGCCCACTATTGGATGCAGATCCAGCATCCACACGTCCTAACCCTGTCCCCGAGGGGTGCTCTGTGTAAGCCTCGGGCGCCCTCTGGCGGCCAGTAACGGGCATCCTGCCATCCAGGTGCCCCAGGAGTGTCTCAACTTGGGAGGCTGGGGCCTCCCTTCCATGCCCCTCCCTTTTTCCATTGTAACAGGAGGTGGCCCGAGCTCTAACACACTGTCACTCCTACTGCGAGGCAGTCCCCGGCAGGATCGGCCATTCCCCTGGAGCACACGAGGGCCAGTGGGGCCCACCCAGGCCCTGCAGAGTGTGCTGGCCCCCGCCACGGTCAGGGCCTCACCTCCGCATGCAGGCTGCCTCGTCCGCCTGGTAGAGGGGGGAGCGCTCTTTGAGCTGCTGTCGCAAGGATTTCCACCGATCCTCCAGCAGCTGCTTCACGGGATCCAGCTCCAGGCGGTCCAGCTGCGGGTGGGGGCGGGGGCAACCAGGTGAGCTCGAAGAAAGCCGGTGGGGTGTCTGTGGGGCCCTAATCCAAGGGCCCTGGAGCCCCTCACCTTGCTGTCCATCTCTGTCAGGAGTCTGTCCAGCATCTTCTGCCAGTCCTGCTCCTGCCCGCTCATCTTGGCCACCAGCTCCTGCATCATGTGGTTCAGCTGTTCCGTGGTGGCATCAAACTGGATGCGGCTCACTTTGGAGGCCAGGGCACTCTTGTCGGCCTTCTGCCCGGAGAGAGAGGAGGGGAGGCTGCCCCAGTGGGAGAGAGCCATGGGGGGGTCCCCTGAGCCCCCTCCCCCAGGGGCTCCCCTCCACCCCTGGCCTTTTAAAGAACGGCCAGCAAGGCCACCCGGCGGGAAGGCTGCTCGTGGCCGGCCCTTACCACGTCGATCTCCATCTCCAGGCGCTCCCTGTTGGCCTTCTCCTTCTCCAGCTTCTCGATGCCCTGGTACAGCACCTGGGAGGCCAGGGCAGCGCAGGGTAAGGGACCAGGAGCTGGAGGGCGGGCGGCCAGGCCGTGCCTG